TTTTTTTCTTTTTTAAAGGGACGAGGCTATTGTTATTGTTGTGGTTTATGAGGAGGAGGAGGAGGATGCTTGTGGAAGTTGGAAGCCTTTGGAAAACAGCCCGGAGGAAGTGGACCTGTGCTCTCACAGTAAGCTGATTTCCTTCACTCCGGTCTCGAAAACCTCCCGGGGATGATTTATAGGTCCGCCAACAGGACAAGACGGTGTTGGGGCTGGAGGTGGAGGGGTGGAGTTTGAAGGCGGCTCGGTGCGGGGTGTGGATGCCCGTCTGGGGGCTTGGTATCTGTGCGGAAGGAAAAGAGAGCCTCTGCGCGCGTGTGTGTGCGTGGAGAGAGACACCAGTGGATTTAACTCTCTTCACTGCAAGGATGGGGCGGCCAGCTCTGAAGGAGGGTTTGAGGTGGAGGGCGAAGCGGGCACCCTTTGGCGAGATCAAGAGTAAGGAATCCTCAGAAACAGCATTGCCTTGTTTAAAATTTGTGTCTTGCTCCACTTAAGAGCTCCTTTTCCTATGCATTGGCACCCTATATTGGCCATTCCAAGGGTTGGCCATTCCATAAAGAAGGCAGGGAAACCGACCAATCTTGTGTAGATGTGTGTGCACACACGTAATTGCCACCTATATGCGCTTGTGTAACATAAACACGAAGGATTGTGGAACTAATATATATACGCTTGTTACACACGCGTATATATATTCGTTAAGACGGAGATAACTCCGTAATGCGCATGCACGTGATTCTAACTCACACATACATTCATTTTCTCTCTCTGTCTCTTCGTCTCCAGGAAAAATAGAAGACAAGACTTCTATGCTTTCTTCCGGGGACACCTAACTCACTTCTGTCTACTCTTGTCTTTCCTTTTCTTTCAAGACCCCCGTCCTGCCTCCGCCCCCCCCTCCGCATGTCCCCATCCAATAGAGTTATTAATTACTCCTACAAGGCGGGCAATTCTTAACTAATAACAAAGTTGTAAATTGCCACCTTCTCGCCAATATTTCTCATTTGTCAGCCTTGATTGATTTGATTAATATTCCAACCGTGGAGATCATATTGAAGTCGGCCTACCTCATCAAGCAGCCTCAGAAGCGCTAGGACGAGTAAATTTTCTGCGCTG